GTGTGTATTTTTTTTAGCAGAAAACTTTTCACCTTTTCAGATAAAATGGCATTCGAAAAAGAATACGCTTTGAAAACCGACACGTCCTCTCCGGTCGGTCGACACAAAAGAGTGTATTTACAAAAGTTTTTCTGGATGTTCGTCATTTAGGGGTTGGTATGAGCGAGCGAGAGCAAGAAAGCGAGTAGGTGAGAAAGAGAGAGTGAATGAATGAGCTTGAGAGAGAGAGAGAGAGAGAGAGAGAGAGCGAGTGAAAGATAGAGCCTGAGTGAGAGGGAGAGAGAGAGACAGAGAAAGAGAGAACGAGTGGGAGAAACACACAAAAGGTTCATAAAAGTTTCCCTTTGTGTGTGTTTTCCTGTTGTTTATGGGCGCCGGGTGGAAAAATGTAATTTTCGTCCTATATCTCTCAGTGTCTCACCGTCTTGGTTCGCCGTGGAACCACCGACCGAGTTTAGAACTACGATGTTTGGATGCTTCGAAATGCTTAGAGTTCAGGTTGGGAATGGCATTCATATTTTCGGATGTTAGTATTTTTCAAAGGTAGTCCGGAGCAAAGAGTGTGAGAAGAGTTCGAGAAGAGTGAGACAAGCGCTTGGTTCGTTTCGAAGAGAGGAGAGTGTGTCAACGAAATGACTCTGCGCCTCAAAAACTATCTATACGACAATGTAACCAAAAACCCAGACTCATGTAACTGTCTTTTAAATGACCCAATTTTAATTGAGATGGGCCTCATGAAACTATAATTTTTGTTCGTTTTTTTTCTGCTGTCATCTCTCTCTCTCTCTCTCTCTCAAACATGTTAATTTAACGATCGGTTTGGAATTTCGCACAAAACATGTGACTAATATTAGACGCCGACTTGGTTCCAATTCAAGAAAATCGCGGCACTTTTAATTGCTGATGATTTTATGTGTGCTCTTTGTGTGTTGGACATATTAATTTGGATGAATGATGTAAAAAAAAACTGGCCTCTTTTTCTCAAGTGTCGCTATGAAATGCAGCTTTGAGAGATGGCTAATAAAAATCTCACAATCATAAAATATCAATTCAATTTTGATTCGCCTTCACGCTTAGCTGTTCTTGAGTTCGCTCAACAGAACATAGATGTTTATAGAAATGACAAGGTCTTTCTGTGTGTTCGGTTCAAAGTATCTCGGTTACGAATGAACATGCAAATGATTGTCAAAACTATAAAATCATCAGCACATGCATAAATTCTAGTGTAGTTTTGATATGTCATTAAAGCGGCTCCTCTCTGTGAATTAGATTGCACAACCCATTTAATGGAGTGTAACAGTGTTCGCTGTTCACGAGTATGTTTGCGTTTATTTCTCTGATGACTTGGCCATATGGCAGCTTCGAATGTTTTTTTTTTTTTTTTTTTGATTAAAACAAACGAGAATTTTATAGTTCACTTTGGCCCCGCCAAAACGAACGAATGGAAAATGTGTGTTTAAATCACTTCGTTGGCAACAGCTTGTTTTTCATACACACACATATATATAATAATCAATTGTCTGACATCATCAGCGTTTAATTGATCTAAAACATAAACAATTCGAATGCCACTGAAGCGACCAAAATCCGAACATTGTGTGTGTATCATTTTTTTTCTATCTGTTTTGTTTTAGTTTTTGATCCTGAAATTGTTTTCAATATTCCCAATCAGTTTGTTGAATGTTTCAAATCAATTGTGAAAATTGATTGAAACGCAATAAGTGAAGCATGAAAAATCTATTTCAACAATTGTCGAATGACAACGAACAGTGAAATAATATTGAATGGAATAATTAAAATTCAGTGCCGCGTAATGCTTCGAAAATAACAAGTCCGAATATGGAGTGAATGGGACTGAGGAAGAGAGAGAGAAAGAGAGAAGTAGAGGACGAGGTGAAGAGAGACATTTAATGGCTGCATGAAACGTTTGTTTTGCCACTGTATACATTTTTTCTGCCAAAACCGGGGTTTGCAATCGACAAAACACGAGTGAAACGAAATCAGTGTTAGCAAAAATGGCAATGACAGTATACGAATCGAATTCACCAGTTTTGTTACCTTTTCAAATTAAAACTATGCTCTGAGCTACGACGGCAGCAACAACAGTATCGGTGGTAGCGGTAACAACACCAAATCGAAGCGGGGTGTATGACATAATCGACAAAGCAAAACATACAAAATTCCATATGCTTATGGCTTTTGAATTTAATTTTCGCTGCTTGCCACACACTACCACATAGAGTGTGTCCTTTTTGTAGTTTTGTTCAATTTGTTGGTTTTTATTCTTCATTTTCTGACACACACACACATACACACACACTCTGTTTCTCGCCCTCTCCTACCTCTCTTTCTCACCCACTCTCCCTTTCGCTAATTCTCTCCATCCCTGTGTGTCTCTATATGTCTCTGCGTCTCGTTCTGTGTCTCTGTTTGTCACTAGTGCCGTGGAACGGGACAAAAATGAATCGGTGGCAATGGCGGTAGCGGTGGCTTGCACGATGAAAACTAATTTACCAAAAGCTTTGCATGTGCACAAGACTAGCCAAAAGGCGTGCAGAGATAATAAACTCGAACATTATTCTACATTAGATTTGAAGTGTTGCACATCGTTTTGCAGCTCATCTATTCACATGCATTTCATTCGTTCACTCACTAACGTGGTTATTTTTTCTCGATCGTTCGTTCGGAGTGTGTCTCTTTCTGACTAACTTTTTCTTTTTCACTCTTTATTCCCCCGTTTCTGTTCCTCTTACGCAATCAGAGAGTCCCTCTCTGGTTCATTTTCTCGTTTCTTCTCTCCTTTTCTCTCTAGTTCTTCACTCTTTTTCTTCATCTCACTCACTCTATTCATCTCTACACTCACGTTACTCTTACTCTCCTCTCTTTTTTCACTTTCCTCACTCTTCTTGCTCTTCGCTTTGCAATCTCGCTCTTCACTCTCACTCTCCAACTTTGTTGGACAAAATGGGTATATCGCCCATTCGCTCACCATGCGACAAACAAATTTTGCAAAACACATGCACACACAAAACACACAAAAAGCGCAACATCAACACTTAATCAAATTGCAAACACGCGTTTTGTGTTGTTCGCCAACTGAACAACATACGAAATCATCTTTGTCTCGCACCCACGAATGTGCAACCATATAAATTTAATTGCGAATATTTTTAGTGCGACTGAACTTGTTTATGCATTCGCCGGGTGAGCACCGAATGAACGAACGAACAAATGAACACGAGAGAGAGGGAGAGAGAGAGAGAGAAAAAAAACAACAACAAACACTGGGAATACACACAGCGGTGAGTGTTGAACTCTGGTTGCGATTTCGAAAAACTAACCGCTTGCTGTTCCACTGAAAATCGTCTCGATTTAGAATATAATCATCCTTTTCACTGTATCAAATATTCGACAATTTCACGCAATTTCATTGCTCGATTCTACGATTCGTATGCTGATTTTGTTGAGAGTGAAAAAAAATCAAGTTTCAACAGAGATGTTTTTCTTCACAACGCAATACTAGAACCAGAGCAATGCTACCACACACTTTGGTGTTAAAAATGACTTCAAGTAGTGTTGAAGATTTGAAAAAAAATGTCTTTCGACTAATCATGAAAATTTGAGATCATCTTGTGGATGAGCAGCGGGCAACATTGGAACCCCCACGAATAAAAACCTCGATCAGTTTGTAAATGGCGCCACCAACAACACCATCAACATCCACCGACCAAATATCGCCCAAATGAACGGACGAATACTTGTTTTTGGCCATGATGCTCAATTAGTAAATCTCTTGGCTATTTGTCGTTCCAGTTACCCAGCCAGTTGAAATTTCATTTGCAAGTGTTTTTCAGCATTCACAGGAAAACATAAACACGTTCAACATTTTTCGTTCGTTCGCTCACTGCTTCACTCACTGTAGCTATGTTGGACCGTGTTTATACTCACACACACACTGTGTGAAAATTGCTTAAACAAACTTGCATCATCACGGAAACACATGTTTCAACTGTGAACCACTGGTGGATATAATGAAGTTAAAAATCTAATCATTAAAACAAACATTCCAGACAAGCAATTGCTTATAAAACAATTACTTTTCAACAACAAAATGATAAATTTACATGTGCAGCGCACGGGCAACGAATGAGACAGAGCACACAGAGGTGAGGTGAAGAGAAACGGAGGAAGAGAGTCAAAACACCGTTTGTATTGCATCGAGTCATTGTTTATTCATGACGAATGAATCGACTGCCACACACACACACACACACACACACACACACAAAAACCATGTGCGAACACAGTTTTGTGGGGTACAAAATCCAGACAAAAAGTCAACCTGAATGAATAATTCAGCAACTAAATTCCGTGTTTTTATTTCTGTTTCTTCTTCTAGGAGGAGGAGGAGGAAGATGATGATGGGAAAGTGGAAAGGGGAAAGAAGTAGGTGGAGAAGGATAGAGAATCAACACACTTCTTTAAGAACTTTGTAATTCCTAATGAAAATCTCAACGTCAAAACGATACAAAGACACTGTATGTGGGTCGGATTTTTTTTCCTAGTTGCGAATAAATTTGGCCAAAGTGTGAAAAACTGGCTATTATCATAGTTCATGGGTATTTTTTTTTCTCTGCTCTCTGTCGACTCAAAGTTGAAAGTGTGTCGCACAGCATGACTTCGAAACGCAGTTTCATAAGCATTCGAAATGGAAAGTTGAAGAAAAGCTAGAATAAATCATTTTCACTGTTTCTCTTTTTCTTGTAAGCTCCAGCTTACGCCTTTGACTCAATGAAACTGGCAGCATTGGGAATACAGAATGTATCAGTACAAAAACAACATTAATGTCGATAAATTTATTGGCTTAAAATTTATTCCATCTGCTTTATGTGTGTTCAGTTCCGTTGAAACAACTTTTTTTTTAGGTCAAATTCACTCTTTTCATAGACACATTGGAAAAAAAAAAAGAGATCAAAGATGATGAAAATGGGCTAACATACCTTGCTGTTCTGGTTTGTGCGTGCTCGACGGACAATTCACTTCATCGGTTAAATCGCTACAGTCATGTTTACCTATTTTAGCAAATGAAAAACCAATATTCAATCAATTTAAATTCAACAATGGTTGAATCAACATGAAAATCGACATCGTTCATAATGAATGGAATTTTATTCCTTCATCAATTCGTTGCTTCCCAGAAGAAGAAAGAATTGATAAAGACGGAAAAAATTCCGAGAGAGAAATTAAATTGAAATATACCATCGCACAATTGAGACTTTGAAATGCATCGGAAGTCATCGCATGAAAATTCGTCATGATCACAATCTGGAACGAATAATTTCGAGACACAATTAATTTCAATTTTCCACAGAATCATCATATTTTTGGTTAAGTTTCCTAAATATTCGGGTTGGAACTGTAATTTTGCGTTATTTTCATGAATTTTTATGAATTTTTAATGAATTTTTATTATTTTTCTATGAATTTTTCCAAAAAAAGTGATCAACTTCAAATTCCTCATATCCTCACCGCGTCTACACAATTCTGGATCTTCGTCTTCACCCGAAGGACAATCATTAACACCGTCACACTTTTGTGACTCACAGATTTTTTTGTCTGGACTGTATCGGCATTCACTAACGACATCATCACCGCGGCACTGCGGTGCCTGGTTGCTTCTCGGTGACGATGAAGCAAAGTCGGCGTCAACATCATTGTCGGTACTTTCATTATAATCCAAATCCGCATTGTCCTTCTCATCTTGATCTGTATTTCTCGGTTCCTTATCGCCCTTATCATCATCTTCGTAGCTCACATTCGCATCAAAATCGGGCGCACCGGTTACCAATTCAATCTCATTATCACGCTTCAAATCCGATTCTATTTCGTTTACGCAAACATTTCAAATGAACACAAAAAGAAAAAACAGAATTAAAAATCGATGAAAATAATAAACCCAAAAAATCAATTAAATGAGTTAATTCAAAATGGTTAAGTAAAAATGATAAAAAAAAAATTAAAAACTAATATTATTAAACAGAACAAAACATAAAAGCATGAACAAATATGAGGCATGTTATTTGTGTCGTAAACAAATGTCAAGTTAGAGGATTAACAGTCACTCTTTGTACCACTGTTATGAATGTGTTTGCGTCTCGTGTGAATATTAGTTTAAAGCGTTCACCACCACGGCATTTTTTTGTTCCCAAGAGTAATTGTTTTTTTTTATAACTTTGGTTTTGTTTTGAATAAGATTCCGACCGAAAATTGTTTCACCTTTGGTTATTTGGCGGGGAATATTTGATTCATCCCTTCTTGTCATACCAGCCGATGAAGTTTTCTTATTTTTTGCGTCTATTGTTTTGGTCTGTGTTGTCTGAGGCCGTTCAGTTTTTGGTGGCATTGTGGTTGGTTTTGTTGTTGAAGAAGGCTTTTTAGTTGTATTTTCCGGTTTCTTTGTTTGAGTTACTCTTTCCGGTTTCTTCGTGGTACTTTGAGTAGTTTTTGGAGCTTTTATTTGAATTTTTTCCGACGTCTTTGTCGTTTTTATTGACTTGGCAGGTTTGGTCGTCGTTTTTGTAGCCTTCGTTGTGGTTGGCTTAGGTGTTGTAACTTTTGTTGTTGTTACTTTCATTGTTGTTGTGCTTGTGCTTGTGCTGACTTGCTTCGGTTTGGCTGTTGAAGATATTGGGGGCGGCTTCGTTGTTAAACTCTTTTTCGTTGTCGTTGTGTTTGGCTTTTTTGTCGCTTTTTTCGTTGGCTTTGATTTCTTCGTCGTCTTTTTTGTCGTGGTCTTTACCGTGGTTGTTTTAACAATTGCTTTCGCTGTTGTCTGTTTTGAGGTATGAAAATTCATTGTTTGTTCTTTGGAAAATTTTTAGGGAATTTGAAAAACGGTCGAATGGACATTTTTGGTGGGAAATCCAAGAGACAAGATCAACAATGTTGATTCAACATCTTGTCAAAAGTCACATTTTTTTTAAAACATACATTTTTTGATGTTTTCTTTTGTTAAAGGCTTTAACTTAAAGCATGAAATGCCGAAAAAATTTACAAAATTTCCACGTGACTTATGGATTATGAACCAGGGTAATATCAAATGAACGTGCTACTTTCCCGAATGAGTCATTCGGAATTCATAATTTTAAAAAAATTTGGTCGAAAATTTTAAAAATGTCAATCAACAGTCTTCAAAAACTGAGAAAATGTTGAAAGAATAGAAGAGTTTTCATTAGGAAAAAGAATTGAAAAGTCAAGTAAGTATTTTTTCGAAAGGTTAATGCCAAAAATGGCGAAATAACATCAAATAGAGAAAAAAAAGCAAAACATCAAAATTGTTTCTTTCCAAAAGTACCTTCGTTGTAGTCGCAATTGGTTTTGGCGTTGTCGTTTTAATTGTGGTTGTCATGTTTATGTTACTCTTTGTACTTGTCGATGGTTTGAGCGTAGTTGTTTGTTTTTTCGGCTTTTTCGTTGGTTTTGTGGCTTTTGTAGCTTTGGTCGTTTTCTTGGTTGCCTTTGTTGTGACTGGTTTGATAGTAGTCGTTACTTTCTCTGTGCTTGACTGTGCTTTACCAGACTCAGTCGTAGAAGGCATCTTCGTTGTTGATTTTTCAGTTGATACATTTCCCGATATTGTTGTCTCAAGATTCGGCCTTGTCGTCGAAATGGACGTTTCGGTCGATTTTTCGGTACTACTTTCCGAAGTACGGTTGTCAACGCTGGGTTTGACAGTCGTCTATTTATAAGTGTTGACATAGAATTCTTGTTGATTTGGCAGAAAAAAGTATCAAATATTTTCAAAACGAAATGGCAGAATAATAGAACTGTAGAAAGAACGTTCTTAACTTCTTTCTTTCTTTTCTTTTTCCAAGAAATTCATTCTTTCAAGAAAGAATGCAGCACGAATGCATTCTCAATATTTCAGTATGTTCAAGTTCATACCTTTTCGTTTTAGAAATCTCATAAATTTTCAAATCGGCTTTGAATATTCCATCTGTAGCTCAAAAAAGTGGACACTTTTCCTTGGCACAGAATGAATTTGTGATAAAAGCCCGATTTTTCTCTCTCATTCAAAATTCTGGCATTTCTTCATATTCCAAATCGAAATCATAAAAGATATATATGAAAATGCATCAGAACCAGTATTTGTTTCTCGGAAAAGTATTCCATAATACCTTCAATGTAGTAGTTGCCATTGATTGTTCCGTGTTTGTTGTATTGGAATGATTTTCAGTGCTTGTCGTTGGTTTTACCGTAGTGGTATTCGGTTCCAATTGCTTAGTTGTTCCGGTGTCAACAGGTGAAACGGTGGTCGATTTTTCGGTGCTTGTCGTCGCTACGGTGGTCGTGACAATGGAAAAATGAATGGCTGGTGTGGTAGCACATGACGACTCATCACTGTCATCAACGCAATCACTAATTCCATCGCAATAGCTATCCAATGGGATGCATTTGTGATCACTTTTACATTCAAATTCAATGTCATCACAAATCAAGCTAAACGGTTCGTCAGTGTCGGGAAAAAAATCTTTGTCGTCAAAAACATTGTCATCGTCGATGTCGTCTGCAATGTCGTCATCCTTTGGGCTGTGCGTGGTTAGCGCCACATTTGATTCGGTTGTTGTTTCATTGATTGAACGAATTGATCGATTGAGTTTGCGATTAACTAAACTTGAGATTTGATTAGCCGATTGTGATTTGATTGTGCATTAGGCAAGCCACACAGATATTGATATATGTTCAAAAGCAATACAAAAAAAGGTAAATATTTAAATGAAGAATCGCACTTTATTTTAACAAACAAACACGAAATTCATTTCAAGTTTTTTTTTTAGTCCGAAAAATGCCGAAAACAACACAATCAATTTTGAAATTGAAATGAATTGAAATGTTGTGAAAATGAGACGAAAACTTACCTGTTATGGCAACGAGTTCGTAAAAGTTGTCACGTTCCACTCTCAAATGCTGAATTTGACGTGAATCTAAGGCTGGTTCAATGATGTCTTCAAGCTCATTCAATGGAATCGCTTCATCTGACGTGATTTCAATCGTTACTCCAATATTGAAAATTTCCGATTGCGACGAACGACTGCAAAAATTTAAAATCACACATAATTTTCACTCATAATTATGGAACCATAACCGTCTCCATTTATTTTATGCTAACAACTCAATGAATGCTTTAAATTCGACTCAGTTTGAGTCGAAATGAATAAAATTTTAAACGATGGAGACGCCCAGAATTTTAAACAGCTTAGCCGAGTCACGAACATAAATTCAATTTTCACTCACGTAATCTGAACAACACGAGCATGAATTCGATTTCGGCTTTCGGGAGCCCGCTTTGAATCGTACAAATATTCCAATGCTCGTTGAATCTCTTCAGCCTTCGATTTGTATGCATGCGAATTGGATTGCGAAAAATCTGGACTCCACACCTCATTGACCTTGAATTTCAAACGGACTGTGGAAAGAGAACGATTAGCTTAATTTGAATTCACTCGAATATAGTATTGAAACTACTGATGTCAATGACGATAAAAAAATGAAAAAAGGGATGCATATTTGAATTTAAATTAGGATAGACATTCCGGGAAAATGACGTGGTTTTACTTCTCGCACTCAATGAACAGCATTTTAGGACATAATTTCACATAAACTTACAAAATCGTTCCAATTTGACTTCGTAAACTGTTCGGGTCTCTGTGCTTTTCGTATAACCCGAACCATCCTCAATATCATTGTCATCGTCTTCGTCCTGATCTCGACTATCGTCGGCTTGTGCACGATTCATTATAGCGGCTGGTTGATCCGGTTCGGATTCAGGTGCTTCGGTCTTTGACTTTTCATCATTATTCGTACTACCCCAATTGAACAAATTAAATGGAGCCTCCGTAGTTGTTGTTGTTGTTTCACCAGTTGGAGCTTCTGTTTGAAGCCAATCATCAAACCATCCGCGTTTCACTCGACTCTTTAGCTTGGTTCCTTCATCCTCATTTCCGAACACAGTGTTTATCGATCGCTTGATTCGATCCACACGCGACCAAAGCCAATGCTCATCATCATTTTCATTGTCTAGATCATCGACGCTGCGTTTGTGTAGAAACCGTTGACCTTCTGATGCATCCAGCGGACTGTCGTCGAAAATGATGTCATTGTCATGTGAAATTTTCTGTGGAGTCAAAAAATTGAAAAGAATTAGAAAAAAATAGTCGAAAATACAATGAGTTAGTTTATAATGAGTCATTATTAATGACAGATAGAAGTAAGTCTTCAGTTATCTTTCAAAAAGCTATCAGTAAAAGAACTTTCTTCGTCTCGTCGCCAACTTTTTTCCCAATTTACAACAATTTCGTGCAAAATGAAAAAAAGTGTCTTTACATTCGATTTCGATAGGAGTGCAGATAAAACCAAATCTACTTCAAAAGTCAAGAAAAATTGATGTTAATTGACTCATTTTCAGAACGAATCCTTTTGAATTAGTTCCACCGGAGTTCAAAGGAAACTTGTATTTATATATTCAAAGTTAATCATTTCGTATGATTTACTAGATATTTCATCAGCATTTCCTTGCTTGAGTTCATCACTGTTCCAAAAAGAAGCTTTGAATTTCGAATTTTCATTTTTTGAAGAGTTTAATTACTTCATTCTTCAGAAGAGTGCTGCCAATCCAAACACAAAATTGAGAGATTTTGAGTGATATACGCATAAATAAGAAATAATCAAAAATCAATGCGATCGGAAATGTTGATGAAATGCCACAGGTCGTAAAACGTGTGATTAATTCAAGGAGTTAAATATTCGATCAATTCAAAGAGAAGTGCATATTTCATATTTCCACACATCATAATTCATATCTACAAAGAGAACAACGTAAATAACAAACAAATTAAACGTTGTAAAAAATCGTGTACAACCATGTAATCGATGAGGCAAAATAGCCAATTAAAATTGGATTCAGTAAAAAAAACAAAAAAAGCATTTAATCCATGTTGAACACTTTCACTAGTCTCGTATCAAATGAGTCATATTCGGTCGAATGGAAGATGTCTTTTTCACTCTGTTGCTGAATCTAAATTTAGCTTGCGTAAATTGTTTATGGTGAACATATGGAAAATGAAAATCATGCCATGCAAAAACAGCCGCTCGCAGCGAAAGTTGAACTCTCTCTCTCTCTCTCTCTCTCTCTTTTGCCTTTTCATGACAAATGAGAGCACACAAACAACATGCTCGTTGATCAGAACTGTAACGCATGCATTTCATCAACAACAACAAAACATGAGTCGATTTTTGTTTACACATCATTCTTTGTGTGCACATGTTTTACTTGCTGCCACCGCAATTGCCAGTGCAGTCTATTTTTTTTTTTAAAAAAGGGCAATTTCTCTAAACAGGAATACAAAATCGAGTTAAAAACGATTGAAAAGCCCAATTAAATTCGTATGAAATGACTTTAAAAGCCACAAACATGCTTCTTCCAGAGAACATTTTATGAATCGTTTGAATATAACGGTTTAAATGTCATTTCAAACAGAAAAACGCGCATACAACACGGAAATGATGCAATTTTTGGTGATAAAATTTCATGTTTTCATCTGTACTGTCTCCTTTTACATTCACTCCAACCTATTTGGTTTCACTCGTGTTTCTCGTTTCTATACCGAAGTTCGAATGCACACGCGATAAATTAATCATTTCAAAAATAGAACTCCACTGACCGATAATACTCATAAACGTGTTTAGATGATTGAGCTCATGTGAACGCCATTTGAGAGTTTGAAACGATTTCGCCAGTGGTTGTATGTCCAATAAAAATTCGGTTTAGAAGTGAGAGAAAATTGATTTATATCGTTTGATGTGTGCACTTTAATTGGCTTTTAATATTGTGTATAAAGATTATTATTTTTTTCGAAATAGATGTCGATATATTTATTGCCGGATATATTCAATTTTTTAAAAACAAAAATTTAGAGTAAGAAATTCTTTTTAATAATCTTTGATTTACAGATAAACTATAGTTTATCTACAGATCTCTGTAGATCATCTGAGATGAGTTCAATGGCTTATTTTGGCCGAACTTTGAACCATAGGTTAAATCAACTGCTTTTATCGATTTGCAGTTATTTTAAACTTTATAAAGTATGCATTATGCAAAGGTTGCTTCTATCACATCCATCCACTTTTCCGACTTTTCCGTTCCTCTTTGCTGTTGCTCTTTGCGTCTCTGTCCCTTTGTTACTGCTTTTTTACACTGCCCTTCGTCGCTACTCATCGCTTCGAAGGCGAAAGATGTCGTTGCAGAAGTGGTAAATATAATTTCTTTTTCACACTTTTGCTGCTACCCATCATTCACTTAGCCTGGGCTTAAAATATAACAACGATGACATATCGCGATGTGTCACTTTTCTTCATCCAGAAATAAAAATGTTAAATGTCTCATCGAATAATGGATTCGATTTTTTTCGTCGAAATTATTTCAACATTTTCTCATTTCCTACTGATCGAACATATAAAATATGTCAATTTTTGATACTTCAATTGAATTTTCAACTACGTTTCACACCAAGTTTTAAATAGCAAAGCAAGGCAATAGGAAGATCATACATTTTCTGTTCAAAAAAACTCTTGAGAGCTCAAAAACTGAGCTAATTTCGGGTATTACTGCAAGTGTCACTAAAATCTGTTAATACTGTAATTATGCTCCGAGAGTAATTGAATGTGATTGATTCATCTATGCATATAATATGGCCGATAAGTGTACAATGTTGATTTAACTTATTCTCAGTTAACTTCATTGATTGATCCAATCAGCTCTATCAAACGTGAATTACGATAATATATGAGATAAAAAGAGACATTTCCTTAGGATGGAAGAACGATAAGTGTCCGGATCAAAGAACATGAATCACATAATCGTTTAACATCGGCATCTCGTCATTTCCAAAAACATATTTTCCGATCGAAAATCGTCAGTTACGATGCAAGTAATGGTGCGTGTATATTTAAGAGATGTATTGTTGTTGCTAGCTTGTTTGTCTTCGTTTTATTTGATTTTCCTTGTTCCTTTTGTTTCCATTCGTTGGTTTTCCCTTTGGCACGTTTTCTTCAACGGTCGGTCGAATACCGTCGAAATTCAACTTCTATCACATCCATCCACTTTTCCGACTTTTCCGTTCCTCTTTGCTGTTGCTCTTTGCATCTCTTTCCCTTTGTTATTGCTTTTCTACACTGCCCTTCATCGCTACTCATCGCTTCGAAGGCAAAAGCTGTCGTTGCAGAAGTGGTAGATATAATTTCTTTTTCACACTTTTGCTGCTACCCGAAATGAAAAAAAAGTAACGCAACGACCAAGTCGACGAGCCAAAAACTGATTGCAATGGTATGAGAAGTCTTTATTGGGGGCTAATAATGGTGTCGCGTGCTCGGAATATTTTACAAGCGTCGTCGTCGTCGTCGTCGTTGCCTGTCGTGTGAACGGTGCAGTGTAGCGGTAAACAAGAATCGGAACATAATAGTTATGGTCTTTCAATGGTGGGGTCGCATAATTCGTCGTTTGTTTGGACGAGCTTAAGTGGAGCTCATGGAAACCAAAAAGTTTGGCTCTAACGTATTCATTAGTATGTGCCATAAAGTGGCCCTTTATGGAGTTGGTAATGAGTTAATCAGACCAATTGAACGGCAATTTTAGGTGCACTTTTTCATTCCAATGTTCCGTGGTAACATTGATTGAATTTTGATTTTTTGAATCCTTTGAATGGGCCAAATTTTTTTTGAAGAAAGCAAACATTTGGTTGAAGAGAGCAAATTTGAGTGGAGAAGAATGTGATTAGATCAAAAACTTCGTTACTTTCGAGACGAAGCGCTGGTCACAGCATCAGCTGCTGGAAACAATGCAAATTAAAAGCATGCTATTTCAAAACGTCTGATGTTTACGTCTCTTCCGAACGGCTGTCGTCGGCCCGCTCGAATCAAAGTGAAAGAGAGACGCTGACGAATGAACAACATCGTTCGATATAATCGCGTGGCGACATTGCAAATAAAACTTTTTCGTCGTAATTGGAACATATGTGGCGAATCAAATGAATCTGCATTGGCACTAAAGTAACGTTTTCCGTGCTTAAGTGATGCGATTTAATTTTTTGCGCACTATGACGAAATCATTTTAATGAATTCTATTTAGAGCACACCGTTGTTTTCATCTTCGTTCTATGTTGTTCATCATACACGTATGTTCAGTTTCGTTCAATTAATCGTAATTGCTTTATCAGTGGCTTAAAATGACTTCAAAACATATACACTAATTCACTGATTCACAAAACAAAATATGCGATTGGAATAAGAAACGCGTTTGAGCTACATTCCAGCCAATCAATTTTGCACTTGCACTTGACAGAGTCATTCAAAATATGCACGCTGTGACGATCGTCGTAGTCGTCGTCGTCGTCATCGTCGCCAATTGTTTTTAAACAACACATTATTTACCTCAGCGAAAGAGCTACGAAATTGACATCGTTTTAGATAAGACAATCAAAACATTGTCAGGTTGATTGCTGGAAATTGGCTGGAATTTTCATGAGGGACAATGTCATTCATAAAATCGTGTGTGTGGGAAGCGAGAAATGTTCTGTTATTGAATGAGTCGGTGTTTAAAATATGGAAAGAGATCATCTTACTTCACAGCTGCTCGCCTGCGGAATTAAGATTGAACGACTCAATCAGTTTGAGACTGTGAATGCAATGTTTTCGTTCTGCGAACGATTGTTTTTATGATGACCGAATAGATAGTTCAAAATCAGAGGCAGTGGAAACGCACAGTAGAAACGTCTGCTTATGTAAGTGTGGCAAGGATTTAGACTCATCTTTATGTGACATAAAATTGATAAAGAAAATCTTTTGAAATTTTTTCAAACCAAAACAAATCTTCTTCTGCTTTAAGTACTATAATCCAGAAAAGACAGAAATATGTCAATAAATGAATCTGAGTCTGTGTCCTTGTCCGAGATTTAAGCATTGGACAATGAACATACTCAGTATGACATACTGAATGTTCAATGCTCATCCATGCATGAAATGCAATAAGTTCTATTGCCAATAGCCCATCGGTAGAACATTTTAAGGCAGTAAATTTCCTAAAAGTGGCAAATTTAAGGGATTATTCATGATTTAGCTCAA